TACATACACAAACACACACATACACATACAGACAGACACACACACACATACACAGACAGAGAAACATTCATACAGACACAAAAACATACATACAAACACACACATATACAAAATATTTTAGTCACCCTCCTGTTCCCTACCTTTTAGATGCAGGAGGAAGACTTCCCTGGGGTCCAGTGGAGGCTTAGCCTGATGGGAGTCAGAGTTCCCACTGCAACCCCTGTATGTACGCCACTGGCCCCTTGGGCTCGTGGCTCTATGCCATGAACTCCGCTCTTGACTCTGGGTTCATACTTGCCACAAAGGTGCTATTTTTTCCCCTTTAAATTATACACTTTTTCTTTTAATTCTGTTCACAACATAACTTTTATGCTGTCAAAACCATGTGGTCCCATTTAGTGACAATATATAATTTGCTACATATGTCATATTCAATAAATGCAACATACCTGGAATACCCTCTATTATTTTCTGATAGTTTATATAAACTGGATATATAGCTACATTCAGCCACAGACTGTAACTGCCACATACAGCAACACTTCATATTGCTTGCCCCATATAAAATGCTCAAATTCCATTAACAATATTTTGAATTATTTAGTGTTTTTACTACAATTCTCTTAATATCTGTGGTCATTCACTAAAAGCATGTGTTTTTTCCCAGTTGACCATAGAGTAAAACACAATATAGATAATACTCAAAGTCTTGTTTTACTTTTTGTGCACTCAGTGGCTCAAACACACATTTGTACATTAGTCACTCTTTTGACATTAATAATGTAACTGCTTTTTAAAAAAAAAAAAAAAAAAGTGTTGGTACCCTCTTTACCTTTTATTAATATTTATTTAAAAACAAAAACTTTGAAAAATGAAATAATCAACATGTTGTATTCTGTGGGGTCAAACTTCATTTCTTATAGTCACAAATTTGGAAAAAATATATAGGGGTTTATTCATTAAACAGTGAGCTGGCAAATTAGATTGCAAAATAAAAGAGGCAAGAACATAACTGAGTTGGAAGGATTCTGTATTTCTCTGTTAGTCTATGTTGGTCTGCAGTCATCCTAACCCTAGGTGCGGTAAGTTAAGTAGATGTGGTAGGACCTGAGGACTTACGATACTTTAAATCAACATGCTTGTGTCTAAATTATGTCTTACGTAACTCCAGGGGGTCATTTTGTGGATAAGTCAGGGGATTGTCTCTGTTATATGTGTATATGTGGTACCATTTAGATCAAAGATAATGCAATAATGCTCTTTAGTTGAAAAAACACTATAGGGTCAGTAACACAAACATGTATTTCTGACCCTGTAGTTTTAAAACCACCATTGGGAAAGCATTTGATTGGCTGAGATCACCAAGTAGGTGGGATGGGGCGGGCCAATCAGCATCTCCTCATAGAGATGCATTGAATCAATGCATCTCTATGAGGAATGTTCAGTGTCTCCATGCAGACTGTGGAGACCCTGAACAGCACAGGAAGAATCCTCCAGTGGCCATCTGAGGAGTGGCCACTGTAGGTGTCCCTAGGCTTTAATGTAAACACTGTCTTTTCTCAAAAAAGACAGTGTTTGCATAAAAATGCCTGCAGAGACTGGCTATACTCACAAGAACAACTACAATGAGCTGTAGTTGTTCTGTTAATGAGAGTGTCCCTTAAATTATATAAACAAAACTAGCTTTGTCTATCACTTACACCAGCACCTTTTCATCTATGTCATCTGTGTTTTCCATTTACGTGAGAACCACCCTTGCAAATAAATGAAAGACATTGATTGGCAACCATTATTTTCAATGGAAGACAAGGGATTGGATGAAAAATCTTAACATGTTCACTTCTTGGCTGAAGACCAAGAAAGCATTTTCATTTGCTACAGAACATTCAGATCAAGAGATTTTGTTTTATACTATACATATTTATCAATGTTTATATTATTACATTATTCTCACAATCACGTCCCTTTAATCAGTTTGACATAGACACACTGCATAGGAAATAGTCTTTATGTCTGTCTCAAAGATACGTTTCTAAACATAGTCAACAATATAAAAGTAAGGTAATTATACTTGCCCGTTTCCTTTAATTATTCCCTAACAATCCATTTGCCTTAGTGAATTGCCAATGGCCTGCGAATGGCTAGATTAATGTATTGCATAGACTCCTTTTATATTTTCTATATAAAGTTTATAGCAACGCTATTCAGTCCCAGAGAATCTTGTTTAAAACGTTTCTGGATATAAGACTTATTTTCCATGCTTGTCATAATTTGCAGCTAGTATCACAAGACGAGTAATGACAAATTAAGGCCTGTCTTGTAGCGTGAAAAGTAAATTACAAGGACTTTTATTAAGGCATAAATAAACCTATTAAACATTATCTGAATTAGCAATTAGTAGACAGAGCACTGACAATTTTATTTATCTACATTAAACACAATTATTAATTACAAACCTGACAAATCTAGCAGTAAGTAGGACATGCTGGGGCTTTAAGTCTATTATATGAAGGATGATTAGGGAAATCCTGCAGGGAAATAAGTAATTGTAGTTGTAAAATTTTAATTGCCTCAGAATAGGGTAAATTATATTCTCTTGTCTCAGAATACAAGCAGTGGCATTGTGCTACCAAGGCTCAGCAGTTTTGACTGGTAAAAGCATTAGACTAGGAACAAATACAATCGGCTTTTTTTCTTCTGTTTGTTCTAGGGTATCACAAAATTCACAAGTTTAATGCCCACACGATTATAAACACTGTTCTTTTGTATAATTTCTAGTTTACATTGTCAGAGTACATTCTGTATTAAATCAGTCTTTTCTAAAACATACAATTGCATAGATAATACTTTAACTCAGATTTCTACAGTCCATCAAAAAGGTCTAATAAACCTGCCTTACAGGTGAGTTAATCCCTGGTTCATCAAGTAATCTTATGACAAACGTAATCCAAATACGTGGACAGCGCTAAGAATTCTCATATAAAGTGTAACACATAAAATCATAAAAATACTAAAACCAGCAGCAATCACCCAATTAAGTGACTTATAAAATCCAAAAATAAGAAATGGTGTTGCGTTAAAATATTACATGCTCAAATTTTTATATCTCACCAAAAGTATATTTTCATAGAATCATCTGAAAGATGAAAACAGACAAATATAGTGCAGACCATCTGATTTAAAAAAATATTTTAGTTGTGCACACTTATAAAGATTTGGGAGATAACACACACATTCCCCAGAGCCTGATCAACCCTGCCTCTGGGTGGGATAGGCTCCTATGGAGAGTGAAAATTCCCACAATCAGGTGTCCCAGGTAAACCAAGTGTACTCTGCAGCACTGTACCAGTGCTGCAGAGTATGCTTGGTTTCCCTGGGACACCTCATCGAGTAATCTGTCCACTGGTAGTGCTCAAATAATCCAATATTGAGAGGTAGGTATGAAATCTGGAGAGGAAGAGCTGGAAAGATATACGTATTGGTGTGCCAGTACTGCATGGTGACAGACGGATTCAAGTAATGGCTCAGAGCTAAAATGCCTCACACAATACAAGTGCATTTAAAGTGTCTCTGCTTTGCATATTTTGTAAAGGTGACATTACTCTGTATGTGGCCATCAGTATGGCAGAAGTTTACTATTCAGTTCTTGGTGCTTCAACCTTCAAGAGACCATAGCACTTCTGTACTGTTGCTTATGTACAAGAGTCAGTGGCGTACATACGACCCACGGGGCCCCGGTGTAAAAATTAATCCGTGGGCCTCCCTTCCGCGTTTACTCTGCGCGAGCCGGGGCCGCAATACATGGCGGCGGGCACCTGGTCGCAGGGCACTTAAAGGACCACTACACTTAAAGGACCACTACAGACACCCAGATCACATAAGCTCAATGAAATGGTCTGGGTGCCAGGTCCCTCTAGTTTTAACCCTGCAGCTGTAAACATAGCAGTTTCAGAGAAACTGCTATGTTTCACTGAGGGTTAATCCAGCCTCTAGTGGCTGTCTCACTGACAGCCACTAGAGGCGCTTCCGCAATTCTCACTGGGAAAATCACAGTGAGAAGAAGCTGGAGAAAGGTAAGTGCTGAAGTGGTTTTAAACACACACACACTCTCATGAACAGATGCATACACACTAGCTAACAGACACACATTTACTGAAAGAGACACACTCAGTGACATACATACACACTCACTCACTGACAGGAAGACACACATACACACTCACTTACAAAACATACACTCTCACTGACAAACACACACTCACTAATACACATCAAACAGACTCACTAACAGACACACACAAGCACACTCAGTAACAGACACACACAGTAACACACTCACTGAAACACACACACACTCAATAACAGACATACACAAACTAACGCACACACACAAAAATTAACACACTCACTGACACTCACTAGCAGACACACACACAGTAACACACACACTGACACAAAAACTAACACACACACACACACTCTAACATTAACACACATACACAAACACGTTTTTTTAAAAATGTGATCCCCCAGCCTCCCTACCTTTGGGAATGCTGAGGGGATTCCCTGGGGTCCCGAGGTGTTGCTGGGAGGCCGGTCCTGTGGGCACATGAGGGAGCACTGCCCAGCTCCCTCGCGCGCCGCTTACTGATGCCGGAGCCGGAATATGACATTGTATTCCGGCTCCGGCATCAGTCCCAAAATCTACAGATAACTCGAGATTAAATGCTGTAATTTACCCACAACTCGGCTCATTGAAAAGCGGAAGCAGCCACAAACCTGCCGATGCCATACAGGACACCCGACTCGACCGGGAACCACAGCAGCAGCATGAGGCCTAGCGGAGGCATGGGGGAAGGAAGGCCACCTTCCCGCCAGATGCTAAATGCACCACACGAGCAAAAAACAGTCACCCATCTGTGGACCTGATGCTCCGAACTCTGTACCAAACAACAGGTACTACGACCTCCCAAAACAAAATGGAGACGGGAGCCCTCAAGATGGCGGATCACTCTGACACGACAGTGTCGGACAAGCGACGGCAACAACATGCTATAGCGCATACCAAGGACCACGCAAGAAACTCCATCACATTAATCTTTGACCACTTCTGGGCCAAGTTAAAGGCTTGTATACAGCCTGAAGCACCATGCCAAAAACTGCCCATGAAGGTCAGAGCGGAAGGCGGTCGGAACACTGGGAATACTCACCAAGGCAACTCTATGACCTACGTCCAGGGCCCTCCCGGGCTGAGAGCAACGAAGAGCATGTCCCAGAGGTGTAGGCCACACTGGTCAAGAGCAGTAAAACAAATACCTAAGCGATTGGCTACAACTCCCCGAACCACCCCAAAAAGGGCGACCCTGGACCATGTAGGTTCCCAGGCTCATGGCCTACAAAAGGACCAGCTCTCACACAGCTTTGGGGCAAGGGAGGATTCCCACCTCCAGGACGATGCAGCTCTACCCAGCTGAGACAGGACCCAGATGTGAGACCCAAACCTGGAAGGCAATTGACATTCAGCGGTCACCAGACCAGCAGCAGCAGTATTACAATCCTGGTGCATGCTAAAGGAGGGAGCTCCACTACACGCCGCATCTGCACGGACACCTACTCTCATGGACCGTGCACACAGAAAGGCTCCGGTCAAACCGCGTCTCACCTGATCATGCCAGACTCGACTGAGGACCGGTACTTGGCACAGACCAGTAGGAGGGCGAAAAGGAGACACCATGCCGGGCTATAAAATGGACCACCCATTAAGACATATCTGTGACAGCCTTGTCACAGCGCAGGACTTACTTAGCTGAACGCTCAGAGATACAACCGTACCTTTACATTTAATTAGTTATATTCATTTAATTTGTTTTATCAGTTCATGCGCAGTTAAAATGCACCTTCACCTTATTCCAACACCCTGAACATACCATGCCATTAACCCTCACTACATTCCATGGCCTGATCCTATGGGCTCCTACCTTACACGTAATATGACTTAGCATTACCTGAACCAAAAGTCAGCTTAAGACGTGACACTTGCTTATATAGCTTACAGACGGTCCTAAATTGCATAGCTTACATACACTACATGGCCTTCAGCAACAACGACAAACCCTTACCTCATAGCCCCAAAGAGCTCCTCTTTATCACCCAAGCATTACAGACCCAGGAGCACTCGATACATACAAAACACATGGGATATGGTTATGTATTATACTTGTACCATATGGCTCCCCACTATAGGCACTAGACAACCTTGGTACCTCCTAAGACAAACTACTGGCTAACCGCCTGATAATTACTTATATACAATCCCAACGAGGTACATAAGGTTTTTCACCTAGTGGTCTCCCCTGACACAACATGATAGACATGACGAACCCCACCACAACGCATGTTACTATAAAGCTGATATTTATCCTGTATTATTATGCATTGCCTAGCTACTACCCTACTTGTTATCTATGCTACGTAGCACAAGGATTGCTGTTGGGGTACCTCAAGCCAGATTGTATTCAATATTTGCACTGCAAAAAAAAGAAGAGTTTAAGACGTGTCAGAAATCTAAATTTAAAAGGTATATGCCAGACACTCAGACTGGCATAACCGTTTAAAGATGACAGCTTCTGTGATGTATAGTAGCCATAAGAGATAATGAAAATGACGTAAAACGCATTACGAAATTCAGTTAACCCATTATACAAAAAGGTAAATGGACCCCCTGACAAGAATTTTCGGTGATGAAATTATGCCACTCAGGAATTTCTTGACCATAACCCAGTCACCAGGAAGGAGTTTATGTGTGCCTGTATTTGATTCTAGATCTGGAATAGAATAAAACATCTGTGCATAAATTTTGGTCAAGGCATGAGAGAGTGCAGTTATATAATCTACCATTGCATCTGACTGAATTTGAAGTTGTTTAGGAAAGTAACAGCCTAGCCTAGGTGCTGTACCAAATAAAATCTCGTAGGGGATAAGCTAAATCTCCCTCTTGGAGTGTACCTTACACTAAATAGTGCTATGGGAAGACTTTCCGACCAGGGTAGGTTAGTTTCTTGGGCCAACTTAAGCATTTTGGCTTTCAAGGTGCCATTCATGCGTTCTACCTTACCACTACTCTGTGGGTGATAGGGTGTGTGGAATGCAAGGGTCACCCCCAGTGCTGCCCAGATTTCCTTGGTTAGCAACGCGGTGAAGGATGTTCCCTGGTCATTCTCAATCACCTCAGGAACTCCATATCTGAAGATGATTTCGGTAAGTAGGCGCTTTGCTGTGGTCTTCGCAGTGAGATTAGTGACAGGAAAAGCTTCTGGCCATCCTGAAAACATATCCACTATGACCAGTGCATATTCATACCAGCCACTTTTTGGCATTTGGATATGATCAATTTGGATCCTTTGGAAAGGGTACTGTGGCTTGGCCAAATGGTTTGGGGCGGGTTTAATTATTTTTCCCGGATTACATCTGGCGCAGATAGTACAGGATCTGCAGTAATTTCTTGTCAAAGTAGTGATTCCGGGTGCCTCAAAATATTTATCAATCAGGGAGTTCATGAGGTGCTTGGATAAATGGGCTGGTCCATGGGCCCACTGAACGACAGCTGGGTACATATTCTTGTGTAGACAAAATTTGAGGTTAATTGTGTACACTTCATTCTGGAGGGTTGCCCCTTTATCTTTCCAACTTTGTTTTTCCTTAGGGGTGGCAGCGGCCTGTTGTTCACTCAGGAACTTGAGATCGATAGGTAGGGTTTGCATAGTGTAAATAGGAGTCTGTTCAATGGGCACTCTTCTGTCCACTTCCCGACACTGGCGTGCCGCATCTTTAGCAGCCTGTTTGGCTAAGTAATTGCCACATGCTTCTTCTGAATTCAATCTCCCGTGGGCCTTTACCTTTAATATGGCCACCTCTTGAGGGAGCAGTAAGGCATACATTAATTCGTTGATAGCTGCGCCATGTTTCACCGGAGTACCTGCTGCTGTAAGAAACCCCCTTGTTTTCCAGATTAAGCCAAAATCATGTGCTACGCCCAGGGCATACCTTGAGTCTGTATAGATATTAACATGCTTCCCTTCAGACATCTTACATGCTGCTGTAAGGGATATTAGTTCGACTTTTTGTGCTGACTTAGATGATGGAAGTGAAGATGCTTGGAGTACTCGGTCTTCTGTGGTGACAGAATATCCGGTATGATATTGTCCCTGTACGTCGGCAAATCTAGAACCATCCACAAACAGGGTGAAGTCAGGATCTGGCAGAGCAGCCTCGTGCACCGTTGGGAAATGGGTTGTCTCCATTTTCATCTGTTCAAAACAGTTATGAGGGGCATCCGGGTCCTGTTCTGTAGGAGGATATGTCTTCACATATCTCTGTGTGATATCGAGGGTAACCGACTGTTTTGCAATTTCTGGTCCTTTTAGCGACCCCTGTCAATGTGAGCTGTTCTTGAGTTGCAGTACTTCATGTTTTGGCCATTTGGCCGAGTTCTTTCCATGAGAGATTTGGAGATTTGGTGAAAGAGATATGAGGAACTTCCACCTCCCAGTGGTGGTATAAATGTGATACCTCCATGGACAGGTAGACCAAGATAACAGTATTTCCTCTGGAGTCACAGAACAGGTCTGTCAGGGTGATGCGTATTTCCACCAGGCTAAATAATTCTTCTTCATAGTATGGGTCAGGACCTGGGGTATTCCTGAACCAGAGGGTACAATGTAAGTAGCCCTCAGGTTGTTCGTCATGTGGAACCATAGGCTTTTTCACTTGAAGGTCCATATGAACATCAGGATTTATTTCCAGACTGTACCAGTATTGTGGTACTCCCCCCTTGGGAAGTGGCAGAAGAGTGGCCGGGTTTAAAGAGTAACATCTTTGTAGAGTGACGTTATCAGGCAAGAGGAGGGAGGTTTAAAGGCGGAGGTGTCTCTGGAAGGAGAGATGTTTCGGTTGGACTTGATTCAGGATGGCGGTGATATCATGGGGAGCAAGGACAGTGAGTTTATGTCCAAGATCAAAGTCATTAGTTTTGTCCAGCAGGGCACTGGCAGCAATCACAGCACGTAAACAAGAAGGACCGCCTCGAGCCACAGGGTCCAGCGCGCATGAAAAATAACCAATAGGGTGTTGACGGGAACCATGTGATTGTGTAAGGACCCCAGAAGCATGGCCCATCTTTTCAGAGACAAAAAGTTTGAATGGAGGCCCAAAGCTGGGGCAGAGGAGATGGCCCTTTGAAGGGCATGGTAGCAGGAGTGAGCTGTTAAAGACAATGAAAATGGTTCAGTCTTCAAGGCATCATAGAGAGGTTGCATGAGCTGAGAAGCCTCAGGGATCCAAGATCTGCAGTATGTGATGAGGCCCAAGAAGGCATGAAGACTTTGATGAGTAGATGGGAGAGAGAGATTTGTAATAGCAAGTACTGGATGCCTTACTGCTCCCTTTGTTAGGTGACGGGTGCCATGGGAAAGGCAATGGCCCAAGAAGACCACAGAGGGCCGGCACCACTAAAGTTTCATTCTGGAGGCTTTACATCCTTCTTCAGCGAGGAAACAAAGGAGATCTTCGGAATTTTGTTCAGCAGTTGGAAAATCATCCGCACAGAGGAGTAGATCATTCACATACTGGAGCAGGACCACGTCAGGGTGAGACTTCTGCCAAGGTTCTAAGACAGTTGAACTTAGCTTTGGCAAATTGAGTACGGGAATTTTGTGCACCTTGAGGCATGACAGTCCAAGTGTACTGTTGGCGATCATGTGTGAAAGCAAACAGATATTGGCAAGAGGGATACAAGGGCACGCTGAAAAAGGCGTTTGCAAGATCAACCACAGTGAAGAATTTAGCTGTTGGCGGGACTTGTGACAAGTGTATGTGGATTCGGGACAACAGCAGTGTCTCGGTTGGTGACATCATTAACAGTGCAGAGGTCTTGAACCATATGGTATTGGTCAGGTTGGCCTTTTTCAGTCTTCTTCTTCACTGGAAATAGAGGGGTGTTACACTCTGACACACACTTTACCAGAGCGCCTTTTGCTAACAGACTTTCAACTTGTTTGGAAATGGCAAGAGCTTGTGCAGGCTTTAATGGGTACTGTGGTCCTCGTGGTGGATTAGCTCCCTTTAGTAGCGTGACAACCACGGGTGGGACTCTTAGACGTCCAATGTCATCTGG